AAAAAATCATAATAACGTATTCAAAGTATATACTCCGCGTACTAAACAAACTTCACTAATACTCCGAATATAATAATGTATAATAAATCACATCAATGTAGCCACCTGTTTTCCGATTACAACCAAAACCGAAAACTATTTGACCTAGTGTAATGTGTTGATTTAGATGTTGAGTATATGTTAGTAATCACAAACAAGTCCAAACATGTGGTTGCAACAATTATTGTTAGATGACATTATTAAAGTTGAGGTGTTGAGAGTTTGATGTTATCCAATAATTATGGACCAACACAAATCATGTAACCCCCCCAAATCTTATGACATGATGTTGCATTTTGTAATAATTAATATTGTGTTTTTTTTGAAATCATATTGTTGTTAGTTGTTTCTCATAATATATTCCATCTACTATTTTCAATGATACTCTAAATAGGTTACATTTGATTTAAGTATAATTTGACCAAATATATTAAAGTCAATTTAATGACACATAATAACCTTAATTTAGGTAATATAATATAATGGTTGCCAAGATTATAGTAACCTAACAAATGACATTATTACCAATTGAATTTGAGACTTGAGAGCGATTTATTGCTAGTTATTTTTAAAGTTCATGAATAGGAAAGAATGGGTGACACCCCATCTTCGAAAACAATTCAATGATTGCTAAGAACATCTATAATAGTGGAGATATTTTGTGATTCTTGAGAAATTTTGTAAGTATAATTAGGAAAGAGAATAAGGGAGGAGAGAGAAAAAAAGGAAAAATAAAGCAGAACTTATTTTTAAAAAAAATAATATAAAAGGAGATTGTCAAGCGCGCCTAACGCGCTAGCAGGTGCACGTGCCCGCTTGGCGCAATGACGTGGCTGTCACAATTGAAATAATTTTTTTGTGGGTCCCACGTTTCAGAAATAACTCAACACCTTGCAGATGCACTCCAACATTCTCTCTCCAACACTTCTCTCTTCCATGTAGGCACTTCCTTGAACTTGCACTTTAATAATTCATGTAAATAGGGAAGCAAATCATTGTGCGGTTCATGGGGAGACCTACAGTGGGGGCAGTGGGGTCAAGGGTCCGCCACCGGTGCGAATTATATGATCTGACATCCTTCTAGAATTTAATTTGTATTTTTAAAGACATTATAAGAGTTGCTATTTCGCTCTAATTCATGCCAAAATAACCATATATAAGGATTAAAAATATAATATTTTTCTTTATATATTGTACATACTTTGAGTTTTATATTAGACCAATCATATTATGTCAAACATAATATAAATTAATTGTAGTTAAAATGAACATAATTAAATCATATATATTTGATGGAGGTGGTGAATTATTATGTTGGAGTAGGTACGTAGCAGTACGTAGAAGCTGAGGCGAAAGCGAAATGACAATAAAGACACTCAAACAAGGTGCCCGGGGGGCCCATCGTATCGCTTCATCCTCCACCATGCATGCATTATACGGACTAGGCCGGCCACGCCACCCCACCCGCTCCGTCACGCCAACATAAACATTTATACAAAATAAACCAGTTTCGTTGATCTGAATGGACGTGCACTCTTATCATTTAAAAAAAGTGTGAAGTTTGAATCTACTTTCGTATGGAAAAATCAATTGGATTAGTATTTTGTCCCTTAATTAAGTTGGCCCGATGCGGACGGAAATTAATCTAAGTATTGTACTGACTTAAAGTTGTCATTCTACAATTAGGACATAGGGCTTGTTTGGCAATGGTAGCAGATTGTGTTAACGAGTTTGACCAGCGGATTGTATCCGCGATTTGTGAAAATATATTTGATAAAATTAGCGATTAACATATAAAATGACCAAAAAAGTACATATAATAATAGTAAAAAAAAAAAAAAAAACAAAGAAGATGTGGGATTAGAATCGCACTAATCCCACATCGAAAGAAAAAAAAAAGGGGGGGGGCATTGGCTCCTTTATAAAAGGGTGCTCAACACTCCTTTAAATTAATTCGCCTCTTGTCCGTGGGGGAGGAGAAGCCTAAGGCTTATATATATATATATATATATATATATATATATATATATATATATGTATTAATAATATTGGAGGGTGTTTTAGGGAAGGAAAATTCCTTCCCCAAAACACCAATCCAACATGCTGCTAAATGTAATGTGTTGTATTTCAACGGTTTGGAACAATCCGCTGCTCTAAACAATGATTTTAGCATTTTAACCATGGTCAACACATCAAAGTTGATGGGTCAGTCAAAATTTTGATAGATTCACAAATAACCAAACATGCCCATAGTCAGGATATTTGTGGTCTGTGAAAAAAACATTTATACAAACTAAAATAATACGGAGTAATAGAGAGTAAAAAGCTAGGGTGATGACGGCGGAGAAGCCGCTGACTGAGTTTCATGTGTTGGGCTGATCGACCACTGCAGTGCTGAGTCGCCTATCCTATTGTTGGCAGGCAGCTATACTATAAAGCGATTTGATTAATGAAGCTGACCGAAACTAGCATGCATTGGGAGAAGCAAAAATATATGGAATGGAAATCCCATCAATCTCTGAAAAAAGTGATTCTTCTTTTTCTCGTTTGCTGTTTGGATTATATTGCCAATCAGATCAGATTTTATTTGTTCATTCCCAAAGCAATGACCTAGGCCGCCACTAATTTAATTTCTTCATATATATATATATATATATATATGTGTGCGCGCGCGCGTGCGCGCGCTTAAGTATAATAATGAGTGCAATGAAGCGATATCACGGTTTAGTAGTTGAACTTGAATTCGATTTATTGAAAGAGTTGGGGTGAGAGTCAGGGTGTTGCACCCTATGGTATGAAAGGTTAATTTTGTAAATATAATATTAGGATTGTCTTGATTATTATATTGTAATCTGTATATTTTATTATCACAATTATTAAAAAGTTTCATTTGTTCCCACGAATATAGACTATCGGCCGAATCAAGTAAACTATTATTGTTCATTTTCGTTTTATGTTTTTGATATCTTGATCCCGTTAATAATTATTGAGTAATGTTGTGATGTTGTCACAATCTATGATGGATAATTTAACATTATTCCATGGTAAATACCCAGCAAGAAGTTGGAGGAGGAAGTGGTTAATCCAGGCAACTCCATGAAATACTATACATACAGCTTTATTCATGAGCAGAGTTATATAAAGCGTGGATTGCCTGGGTGCAGCAATAGTCGCAGGTTATGTCTGGTTGGATGGATCAATATAATAATGTTTTCTTTTCCTTTAATTTTTTCAAGAAAATGAATAATTATTGGATCAATTATTCATGGAATACGTACTAATAGCCACCTTTTTTTGTGCTGACCACAATTATGCGAGCGTTAATAATTAACGTTTGTGGTTGGTTGGTAATTATTTTATGACTTTATTGTGTTGCATGCATGCAAGCTTTGAATTTCAATTTGGCTTTTGCAGGTTGACAGGATAAAGAGAAGGAAAGCCTATATTTTATTTACTCAGAAAAGTAATCAAGGAAAATCGAAAGAAGATATAATAACACCTCACTTTTTGCTTTACCATATCAACTCAACAAAAAGGTTTGACCCATGCAAAAATAATAAGGTAAAACAATCTCACTTTTTGAAAAATATTAAATAATTAATTAATACATTAATATCTTATTGTTGAGACAAACAAAATCAAATAATTGTTAGCTGATATATAATTACAGATTATATTAGTATGTGTTAATAAAAAAATTATATTTATACATACGTGGTTAATACTTAATAGGGGATGAAGTGATGAACTCCCTTGTGAATATATACTTAATTTGGTAGAGGACTATAGAAAAGTTTTAAAGTGTCAATGGAACAATAAGTTAGAGTGTATTTATAGAGAATATAATATGATTACGAAGTTTTTGAATATTTTGTTTAAAGCCTTTAATTTGCAATTTCATCTTGGGAGATGAGTTTGTGTTCCAAGAAAAAAAAAGTTGCAAGTAGCTGATAGAGTTTATATAGAGTATATCTCTTCAGTGAATTGAAAAACTAAATAAAAAATGTAAAAATTAAATAGGGTAAAAAGTTGAAATGGCATGTTGCTATTGAGTTTTAGTGAGTCAAAAAACAAATCTTGACAAATAGTACATCTTCTGACCATAGCAAAATCTTCCTATTTTATGAAAATGAAAATATAGGGTTGAAATGCATATATGCGTATGCAGTTTGACTGTGGCCATACACACAAGAGTGCAAAACTTGGCATCAAGAATGGTCAGATGGGAGTAAATTTTTACTTGCAACAAAAGCAATTCCATCTTAACGTATTCCCATGCAAACAAAATCCTCGTAAACTATAATGTTTTATTCCCATTATATTCTTCCAACACCTTTGTTTGGGATTTGAGAATGTCTTCCTTATCACTTCACCCCAAAATTCATCCACGTATTTACAAGGAAAATGACAAAATTATATGGGTAATCTAAAAATACTTTTGTTACCTAATATGCATTAATTGCATGTAAATAAAAAAAAAAGAGAAAAATGTTTATAGCTATATCAAACTCATACGGAGTAATAATTAATTAATATATTAGGATTATAAAATAAAATTAAAACATATTTTAGCTAAGATGCCTGTTTCTATCCCTGATTTGTACTAATAAAATGAAACTGCTTGTTTTCCAAAAAAAAAAAAAAAAGGAATTGTGGAAATAGGAACTGCAATTTCAAATTTCAATATAAATTTAAGCAGCAGGGGAGCAGGGCCCACATCCAGTTATCCTAGTCGCAAGAAACGCGTGATGTTTATTTCTAACATAACATAACGGGAAGCAAATGTTACGCCGGCGCGTGGCTAAAAGGTGGAAGAGTCCATAGCTAGCTGTCAAAGTCGGAACGGGAAAAGCTCCGTACGGGGTTGCGGCCACAACAGCAGTCACGTCACAGCTTAACGTCCCTTCACCGCCGTTTATTAACTACGATATGAAACAGAGAGAAGCAGCGGGGCTGGGGCATACTTCTTCTCTCTACAACTATCCTATCCTTTCTTGTTTGTTGTCTGTCTGCGTGACAGTGTGCCATTGTTATTATCCACCCAGACGGAGTATTAATCTCTCTCTCTCTCTCCCTTACACTTCACGCCAAATGCCTGCTTCTGTTGTGCTCTGTTTTCTCTCTCTCTCTCTCTCTCTCTCACGCTGTACACTCCATTTCAATATGCCACTATGAGAGAGAGAGACACGGAAACAAAGCACTGACTTTAATCTAAAGCTAAGCTAATAGAGTAATAGGTATCAGCTAGCTAGCTAGCCGTCCTCTCTTCTGCTCTCCCTTGAGATAAAACCCATTCTCTCTTGCCCTTTTGCTTTTTTCGTCTGTCCCGGAATGGTGGAGAAAGTTTTGTTCCCTGGGATCAGGAAGATGGAGTTTGCTCTTGCTTGCGTACTGGCTCTCATTTTGCTTTCGTTTCCTCTTACTTCATGTATCGGAGACGAGGGTGAGTATTAATGTACTGTGTCGGGCCGAGGTGTTGTTGTCATTCGGAAATTTCCATTTTTTCTGGCATTGTTTGGGAGGAAGAGGTTTTGTTTTAATTTTTGTTGTGTGGTTGTGTAAAGTCGTGTTCTTTATGCTTAGGAAACGCACTGGCTGAATATATAATGACTCTAGACTTGGAATGATGTTCTTGAATGGATTGTAAAGAATCTTTGTTCTTCTCCGTGTTTAGGTAAAACACTTATGTCTATTAAAGAATCTTTTAGCAATGTCGCTAATGTGCTGCTAGACTGGGATGATGTCCACAACGAAGATTTTTGCTCATGGCGGGGTGTATCTTGTGGCAATTTTAGCATGTCGGTTGTTTCTCTGTAAGCTACTCTCCCCTGCTTGGTGTTGGTAGTTTGAGTTCTTATAGCATTGAGCTTTCAGCATCAGTATTTTGTCACTACTCTACTATATGCAACAATGTAATGCCATTGTTTTTGGATGAAGGAACCTGTCAAATCTGAACTTGGGAGGTGAAATTTCACCAGCCATAGGCGATTTAAGGAATCTGCAATCTATGTATGTTACTTTGGCTGTTTTTGCTCTGTTGCTAATGGGTTTTTGTTGCAGTGTTTGTTTTATTGGTTAATGGTTAATGGTATTGATGTACTCTAATGATTTTTCCAGAGACCTTCAAGGAAACCAATTAACTGGTCAAATTCCAGACGAGATAGGAAACTGCATATCGTTGATTCTGCTGTAAATTTTAACTCTCTAAAACAGGTTTGCCTTTTTGAAAATGCTGTGTCATAAGTTCTAGAATCTCACATGTTGATTTGGTTTATGTTTCAGTGATCTGTCTGATAATTTGCTCTATGGTGATATACCCTTCTCAATCTCAAAGCTAAAGCAGCTTGAATTGTTGTGAGTGATAGACTGTGCTTGCTTTGTTTAATCTTGATCATGATGTGTTTATAGTTTATCCTAAGCCACTCTCAAATGCAGAAACTTGAAGAACAACCAACTTATAGGCCCCATTCCATCAACTTTAACACAGATTCCCAACCTGAAAACTCTGTAAGTTGTTGCACTACAGAAATCAATATAATGCAGCAGGACTGATTTCAATTTTGCAGAATGTATTTAGTGTGTTCTAAGTGATCTTGGTTTCACAGTGATCTTGCTCGAAACAAACTCAGTGGTGAGATTCCAAGATTGATCTATTGGAATGAAGTCTTGCAATATCTGTAAGTGCAAAACTATTGGTGTCGATTTTGAATGCTTTGGACAATGCTTATGGATGTCTAAATGGTTCCTAGATATATCTTTAAAAACATTTATTTCTTTGACGTAATCTCTAATTGAATTTATGGTGTTTATGAATTCTTTTTCAGCGGTCTGCGAGGCAATTACCTAACTGGAACGCTGTCCCCTGATATGTGCCAGTTGACTGGCCTGTGGTATTTGTATGTATCTACTTTATTCCCATGTAGCATATTGAGACATTTCTTTAAGTGTTCTTTAGACCTGAACTTGTAATTCCACATGTAGTGATGTACGGGGCAACAACCTGACTGGGACAATTCCAGATAACATTGGCAATTGTACAAGCTTTGAAATCTTGTAAGTTATCTTCTGCACCTCTTTTATGGAGCAAATTTCCTTATTTATGCTTATTAACTGGTCGAATATTCTGATTCTTGATTTTAGGGACATTTCATACAACCAAATTACTGGAGAGATTCCTTACAATATCGGATTTCTGCAAGTTGCAACTCTGTAAGTTGGATCAATTGCTTTTTGATTCAAAGTCTTTAATCATTGTCAACCGTTTTTGTCTTTGTCATTAGATTGTATACTGTTTTACTGAAATCAATCCTTAATTGGCATTGGGATAATGGGTGTATCTGATTCTTTCTATCAGGTCTTTACAAGGCAATAGGCTATCAGGTGTAATTCCTGAGGTTATAGGTCTAATGCAAGCACTTGCCGTTCTGTGAGTATCAACCTTTGTCTTTTTGCTGTTTGCTATATTCATTCGTATTGAATTACATTTCAGAGTGCTAAAGTTTTTTTACTTTGTCATCTCAAGGGACTTAAGTGAGAATGAACTAGAAGGGCCAATTCCACCTATTCTTGGCAATCTGTCCTACACTGGGAAGCTGTAAGATCCAGATCAAATTCAAAAACAATTTCCCTATACTTTTCTCATTCTGATACGTCTATATTGTTCTTCAGGTACCTCCATGGAAACAAGCTTACCGGCTCAATCCCACCAGAATTGGGAAATATGTCAAAACTTAGTTACTTGTAAGATACGGAGTATTAACTATTGGTACACAGTGATAATAAATTGTTTCAATGAAATTCTTAGCTAAGCTTCTCGGCATTCTCTGCAGGCAACTAAATGACAATGAACTAGTCGGCAGAATCCCTGGTGAACTTGGGAAATTGGAGCAATTATTTGAACTGTGAGTCTGAATTATTTTTATTTTATCTCTACATTCTCCAGAACCATCAGCCCCCCACCCCCTCTTTTTGTTTCATTTCTCCTTTTAAGGTTTGATAACCAGCCTTCTTTCAGGAATCTTGCGAACAACAATCTGGAAGGGCCTATTCCTGAGAACATAAGCTCTTGTAGGGCTCTGAACCAGTTGTAAGACATTGGCTCATCTTTTTAGAGCTACACTTTAAGCCACTTCTGAATTTTTTGTAGCCAATCTTTCCTTGATTTGATTTATCTTATCTTCTTCTTCTTCTTCTTTTGGTAGGAATGTGCATGGAAACAACTTAAACGGGTCCATACCTTCTGGTTTCCGGGATCTAGAAAGCCTGACTTATTTGTATGCTGTAGACTAAAGTACCAAATTTGTTGAAGTTTTACAATGAAATTGTTCCTGCATACTGATGTAAACAATTTTCTTTTTAATCCTCAGGAACCTTTCTTCCAACAGATTCAAGGGCACCATACCTTTTGCGCTTGGGCGTATAATAAATCTTGATACACTGTAACTTTCTCAATGTCTTTCATTCTTTTCTATCTCTAACAATCCTCAATGCTGATTTTGTGCATGGCTTCCTTTAGGGATCTCTCCGGCAATGAATTTTCTGGATCCATACCTGCTTCTGTTGGTGATTTGGAGCATCTTCTTACATTGTAAGACGTAAATATTAGGTTCTTGAACATTGTTTATATCTGGAATTTACTAATCATCCTCTGTCAAATCATAGGAATCTAAGTCACAACCATCTTGCTGGACGTATACCAACTGAATTCGGGAACTTGAGAAGTATTCAGATTATGTAAGTTTCCATTTAGAGACATCTTGGAGCTGTGAGTTCTTCCCATTGACATTAGTTGTCATTATTGCAGCGATATGTCTTGCAACAAACTCTCTGGTGCTATCCCTAAAGACTTGGGGCAGCTTCAAAACCTTGGCTCACTGTAAGTTCCTCCATTTTTTTGTCCATAAAACTATTTGACTTGCATTTCTCCATTTTCTATTATTAGATATGATTTTTTTAATTGCCTCTGGTGCTATTTATTCTATCATTGCAGCTCTCTTACAAATAACAATCTCAGTGGACAAATTCCCGAACAGCTAACTAATTGTTTGAGCCTAGTCAGTCTGTATGTTCTTATCACATCTCAGTGATGCAAATATGTGATGTATCTGTTGCTTCTGTGAAGCTGATTAGTATTGTTTTCACCAGGAATGTTTCTTACAATAATCTCAGTGGTGTTATTCCCATTAGCCGGGACTTTTACCGGTTTTCTCCTGACAGGTATGCTAAACCTCTTCCCAAGACTTGGCTTTCTTACCATCTTGGAATCCTTTCAGCTTTTTAAAAAAGTATCCTGGGTTCATAGTCATTTCCACATCTCTTTTCCTTACGTATGTTTTTCCTGTCATTAGTTTCATCGGGAACCCATTACTTTGTGGCAACTGGTGTGGTTCTATATGTGATCCATGTGCATCAAAGTCTAAAGGTACAATCTTGTTACATTCTCGTTCATAATTTACCCTCAATGATTATCAATTCTGGCTCATCGCATTTGTGCTTAACATTGTTTCCTTATGTTCTTATTGCAGCTGTTTTTTCAAGAACCGCAGTTATATGCATAACACTAGGATTCATTGCTCTTTTATCCATGGTGATAGTTGCAGTTTACAAATCCAACCAAGCACCACATTTCATGAAGGGACCTACAAGTACTATAGGTATAACATTGCTTAATAATTCTCTTTTTCTGCTTCTTCAACACTATAAAGTTTCATTTACATTTTATTCGTTATTTTTTTTCTCACTTGGCTCAATCAGGTTCTGCAAAACTTGTAGTTCTTCACATGGATATGGCTATTCATACTTACGAGGACATAATGAGAATCACTGAGAATTTGAGTGAGAAATACATAATAGGATGTGGTGCTTCGAGCACTGTATACAAATGTCATCTGAAAAATTCCCGACCAGTTGCCATTAAGCGAATTTACACACAGCATCCCTATAGCTTGCGTGAGTTTGAGACCGAACTGAATACAATTGGCAGCATAAGGCACAGAAATGTTGTTAGTTTGCATGGTTACTCGCTGTCTCCCCTTGGAAACCTCCTTTTCTATGACTACATGGAGAACGGTTCACTATGGGATCTTCTTCATGGTAAGTTCTCCTTTTAATCAAGAACATGATCGCTTATTGATTAGCTGATATCTTTAGGCATTCACTAGTTTTGTTGAACAATTTAATATACCAGGTCCCTCTAAGAAGGTTAAACTTGACTGGGAGACGCGTCTAAAAATTGCTGTTGGAGCTGCTCAGGGGCTTGCGTATCTACACCATGATTGCAACCCAAGAATTATCCACCGGGATGTAAAATCTTCAAACATTCTGCTGGATGAAAACTTCGAGGCTCATCTCTCGGACTTTGGGATTGCAAAATGCATATCTTCAGCGAAAACTCATACTTCAACCTATGTTCTTGGCACCATAGGTTATATCGATCCAGAGTATGCCAGGACTTCCAGACTAACTGAAAAATCAGATGTCTATAGCTTTGGGATTGTTCTCTTAGAGCTCTTGACAGGAAAGAAGCCAGTGGACAATGACTCGAACTTGCATCAGCTGGTATGTTCTCAAATAATCACTTAAAATTCTATAAACAATTGACTAGTAATGGTTGCATAAATGGAAATTTCAGAAACTAAAAAGTTTTGTTATTCATGTTCTAGATACTGTCTAAGGCAGATAACAACACCGTGATGGAGGCTGTGGACTCTGAGGTATCAGTTACATGCACGGATTTGAGCCATGTCAGTAAAACCTTTCAACTTGCTCTTCTCTGCACGAAACGGCTGCCATCAGAGAGGCCAACAATGCATGAAGTTGTTAGGGTCCTCACTTCTCTGCTTCCACCGCCTCCACTGAAGCCTTGTTTGCCTCCGTCAAAATCCATAAACTATGCACAGTTTTTGGTAGGGAAGGGACAGACTGAAAACCAGCAGGATGGCAATTCCTCTGATGCACAATGGCTGGTGAGATTCCGGGAAGCCATATCCAAAAACACACTTTGAATCTGAAGGTGTAAGGTTTGTTTAGCCAAAGTTTTGTTGATGTTGGCTGTTTTTGATACATGGTTTAGGACTGATCAAAGAAAGATCTAAATGCCTAGAATGTCTGATCTGATCATATATTTTGTAGTAATAGATGTTATCATCTGGAAATTGTACTGTCATGCATCTTCTTTTCCTCTTTCCCTGTATAGTACCAAGTAATGCAACTCTGTCTATGCCTTAATCTAACTATTTTGCACTTCACAATGGCTTGGTTTTACAACAAGTTTCTGCATTCTTCATTGTGTTCTAGAATTCAGAAACATATTCCTTTATCCTTAGATGTGAATCGTTCATCCATTTTTCGACCATGCTTCCTTAAGTTCACCTTTTCAGATGGATGATGTTTTGGCTGGGATACTGCACTAGTCTCCATGTCAGGTTTGAGGGACAACTGTGAAATAAAAAGGGATTTGGTGAAATCTCTAAATCCAGAACTTATTCTAATGAATGAATTATACTCAATGCAATACCTTGCTAAATAACTCAATTGGTGGATGCTTCAAAAGTTTCCCATCATTTGAAACTTTGGATTCCTGAAGAAAAGTGTGATGATTATGGAATATAAGAATGCATGTCAAATAAATTAAACAATGTAATCCAGTAATCTGTGCTAAAACAACAACATTCTTCATTTCCATAGTCTGCTGGAAAATGCACCAGATCAGAAAGGCACAAGAACAAAGGACTTACTTGGGATGCTGGTGATCGGGGCGTGCTCTTTTTATGTCGGGGCATTGAAGGAGACTCTAGAATCTATAAACAGCATGAAAATGTAGAATAAGGATTTTGCAGAAAGTATGCATGTATATGATGAGGAACAGTTCTGTTCCAGAATATATATATATAACAAAATGTTAAAAAGTACCAACATTTTTGTTCATTGCCCGGGCTTTGAAGGCAATGGGTTTCTCTGTAACATGCTGATCACTTGAGCCTAAATCATTCTTGGGCCTTAACCTACATACCATTCTTATATTTTCTTTAGCTGGAAACATGGAGGATGAAGATAAGATGAAGAACCCAGTGCATACAATTGGATAGTGATCAGATAAGAGGAAGAGATGAAGTACAGTACCTCCGCCATTGTGCCCTACGCCGAGTTTCTAAGTTAGGCTCTCTGGGAACTGTAACATTCAACCTAGAATGTATGGTTTTTGCAGCAGGAGACAATCCACCCTACAACATAGAATGAAGCTAATTAGGTTCCAACATGTTTCATAAGCTCTTATATATTCAAACTTGTAATCATGATCATAAAATTTTCATAGCTAGCTACCAGTTTGGACGACTTGTGCAGTAACGAAGTCTGGTGTTTCAAATCAGCAACCTGGTCATCAAGATCAAACCCAAACATGATCAACAACGTAATTAACACTTAAAGAATGTAACTATACATGACTGCAGCATGCAGAATTAATGAGTCAACGTAACAGACCTTACGCACGTAACCACTCTCCAATTTTTGCCTTTTGGTAGCTTGATTATCATGCAGTAGTGCATGATTCTGCTTGGCCAACTGACTAGCCGTAGGTTTCATTAAGGTTGAGCTCCTGGGTTTGGAGGATTTTGTCATTGACTTTGATTTAGCTTTTGGAGTATCCTCAACTCTTTGATCGTTGTATGTTGTTCCTGCAGATATATATGATGCCACAGAAAAATCAGCCCTATATTGGATCGAAGGGTCAACCCTAGTCAAGTTAGTCAGCTGACTTGATAATCAAAATATTACAAGTTCTGTTCATAATTTGAGTGGTTTATTTCTTTTATGATCTATTATCTGTTACGGTCACAAAGTTGTATAGATAGTAATTGTGAGTTTTCCAAGTTACTTGAAAAAAAAAAAAAAAAGACTGCACAGGACATTATTCATTCGTACATACCTTTCATCATCATCATCTTCTCATTGGATGAAGAAATGCAGTGTTTTGACATTGGAGATTCCTTTGCTTCTTCTATAGGGCTGATATTTTTCAAGTTTAACTTAAAAAAGAAAGCTGAAAAGTTCAAGAAATCATCATATATATAAAAACAAAATCTTGTAAATCATAAACACTACAGCACACCAGCCAACATTCAATTCATTAATTCATAAACCGGTAAACGGCCGGCGGCGACAGATTTCTTAAATATTCTTACGAGAAGGCGGGTAGTATCCGGCGTCTTGGAACCACCGCTCGGCTCGTTCAGCCTCGGAAGGAGACTCCGGTCGAGTGAAATCAAAGAACTGAGACGCATCAAACTCGTATACCGAATCAATCTCCGGCGACGACGAAGGCTCATCATCATGCAGTAGTTCTTCTTCAATGGATTCATCCATCATATATCTATCTTGCATTGCTTTCACTGCAGGTCGCGGCGGTTTTGGAGGTTTAAACCCTACCAAGAAACAGAGACGAAAGAAGAGATGAATGAGGTTTGCTACGTATAGTAAGTAACTCCGAGTAGCAAAATAATCTTTATAGTTTCGCGGAGGCGGGGCGGTGGCGCTGAATTTTGAAAATGAGGTGACCCGGTGGCGCTTTAATTTTAATTACAATAACGCCCATGCTCTCCAAATTCTACCCATATTAGTATCAGTATGTTGCCTACCAATTACCAAAAGCTGCGCTGGACAAATCTCCATTACTACAAAATACAATGTTTACATTTAATATGAATATATATATAATAATGGATTGATCTAGGTAGGCCATTAATTTTATTTTACGGAGTAATATTTTGAAAGGTTAGTCAAACTTTTGTTGATAGAGTAATATTGGAAGATTTTCTTAAATTTCTCTAAAATAGTAAAAATTTAAAATGATTATTAAACATGCATACAAAAGGATTATGGTTTAATTTAAAACAATAAATATATGCATCTGGCCAATTAAGGAAAGTTTCAAAAATACCAAAAATGCACCATGAATATTGCTATATATATAGAATAATTATAATAACTTACACATACATTAAATTTTTTTCTATTCATTCATGATTTGTCGGATTTTCTTTGACTCGATATTATTTACATTAACTATCGTCATTAAAAAAAAATTGTTATCTAATACTCACAAGAGTTATCCAATACATGTAAGTGTGAATTCTCGGTGTCTATTTGTTAATCAATGAAATTATATTTTATTTTTTAACATCGAGTTGTGTAAAATCTTAATTGGAAAAGGGCATTTTTGTCATGCTATAAACTTGGGGTAAGAATTAAGATTCCTTGGACGAAATCGAGAATCCAATCTTTTTCGTCCACCAAGCAAACGCTTCCAGCCTCCACCAACAAATTAAAATCCAAAGCCTTTCCCTTTTAATTTGGTTCTCAATCATCGAGGCCGCCGTTCCGGGCGAGGATTTGCCGGCGACTCACATGACCCGGTCCACCTACGCCAATTCGGACCCATACAACGAAGACCAGACCCGCAAGGCATCATCCAGTACAGGCATGAAGCTCATTGTCCCCTTACAAGGCGTAGTTCAAGGGAGGGGTGGCCTAATCCTGGGCTCACTCATTCCTTGCGCTCTCTTCTACTTTCTGCAGTTCTACAATAAACGACACCGTTCGCGTCGCCCTTCTTGCGGTTCCAATCTTCCCTCGCCGTCCACCTCATCCCCCAACCTGGCCGAACTACCCCGGACGTCTTCGCGCCTAAATTTGTCCGCTCGTGGCTCCATTGGCCGGGCCCACCTCTCCGCTAGGGCTAGTTCTATTGCGAAGCCCAATGATTCTCCTTACTACATTGGAATCGATAGGTTCCGAGACGACCCGTACGATGAATTGAACAACCCGGAAGGGATTATGCACCTGGGATTAGCTGAAAATAGGGTAACAATATGGCTTTCGTTGCGTTATTTCTTACTAGTTTACTTATCTTTTGATTCGAAATTCAATTATTTTCTGCTGTTTTCATTCTTTATTCCCTCAAAGTTATCGCTGGATTTGATAGAGAAGTGGCTTTCAAATAACTTGAACGGTTCTGCACTTGAAAGTCTTGCTGGTGGGTTGAATATTACCGGAATTGCTGCCTACCAGCCTTTTGATGGATTGATGGAGCTGAAAGTGGTAATCTTTTGTCAAATTATGCTTATTATGATCCTAATTCAGTTAAAGCTTGAATTTTTCTGAAAATGTTGTAGTTAATATTACCGTAATGCTGTTTAATGGCATTTGAGTTTGAGCATTCTTGATGCCAGGAAGTTGCATGGCTAGCAGTTTTATTAACCAAGGAGTTTGGGTTGTTAATTTGAAAGGATTAACTTTTTCAGTCCTTGGATAGTTGATAGCTCACTGAGATTTCATATTGTTTCAACTTTTTGGATTTAACCAAATATGATCTTTGAAGGAATACTGAATCTGTCTAACCATGCAGTCTTAAATTCTTAATCCTTCAGGCCATGGCAGGTTTCATGTCTGAGGTCATGGGAAGAGCAGTTTCTTATAATCCATCACAAATGGTATTAACTTCTGGTGCAACTCCTGCCGTTGAGATACTGTCCTTTTGCTTAGCTGACCAGGGGAGTGCATTTCTTATTCCAACACCATATTACCCTGGGTAGTAGCTATTTCTTTCTAGTCAGTTTCATATCATGCAGTAATCTTATTTATTTTTGCAATTTTTTTTCTTTTAGTTTATGCTTACGTGTGTGAAAAATATATATGTGGACTGGACTGAATTTAACTAGGTTATCAATATGCAGGTTTGATAGGGATATTAGATGGCGAACTGGTATAGAGTTAATTCCTGTACATTGTCGTAGCTCTGATGACTTCATGCTGAGTATGACAGCTCTGGATCAAGCATTTAACCAGGCTAGAAAGCGTGGGCAAAAGGTTCGTGGAATACTCATTTCCAACCCTTCCAACCCTGTTGGAACCCTGCTGACCAGAGAAGTGCTATACGATCTCTTAGATTTTGCTAGAGAGAAAAATATCCATATAATCTCAGATGAAATATTTGCTGGTTCTAATTATGGCAATGAAGAGTTTGTAAGCATGGCAGAAATTATAGACTTGGAAGAGTCTGACAGGGAAAGGGTTCATATAATATATGGGCTATCTAAAGACCTTAGTCTTCCAGGCTTCAGGGTTGGGGTAATATATTCCTTCAATGAGAATGTTTTGGCTGCTTCAAGAAAGTTAACAAGATTTTCATCAGTTTCAACTCCTACACAGAGGTTGCTAGTTTCAATGCTTTCAGACACTAGATTTATTCGGGATTACCTCGAGGAAAATAGAGAGAGATTGCGAAGAATGCATGGCTTATTTGTCACAGGTCTAAATCAACTAGGAATTGAATGTACGAAGAGCAATGCAGGTTTGTATTGCTGGGTGAACATGAGTAGATTAATCAACCCTTACAACGAGAAGGGAGAGCTTGAATTATGGGATAAACTCTTAACTGTAGCTAAGATAAATGTAACTCCCGGATCAGCTTGCCATTGTATCGAACCTGGATGGTTCAGGTGTTGCTTTGCAACTTTACAAGAGAAGGATGTTCCTTTAGTTGTTGAAAGGATAAAACGAGTTGTTGAAAGCTGTAAACCTCCAGCTTGAAGTTTTAGAGTTTTTAATTAATATCATTTTGCCTACTTGCCTTTTTCCACTTCTTCCTGTATTTATGATTGGACACAGTTAGCATTTATATTGCAGTGCGGTTTCATGTCATTGCAAGCTTTATCTTTCATTGCACAATAGAATATTTGGAAATGTGTACAACAGGTTCTTGTTTTAGAAAGGTAACACCTTGAGATCCTTAACAAAGCACAACTAATCGGTTTTTATGCTATGTATATTGTAACATCATGAAACAAGTTGAGGTTGATTTTTACAGAAGTTGTAATTGCCTCTTCCATTTGGTGTGCAATCCTTCAACGCTTCCTCCAACTCCAAACATGCAGCATCCAATACCACTCCTCTCTATGAATTTCTGCAACGAAGGATGGTAAAATAATACGTTTCCATTTTAAATTCTATTGGTGCTTGGCATATTATTCTGTTGTAATTTATCATGAAGCATAGTATAGTTTTGAGTGTAAAATAAGCTTTTGAAAATTTTTTAGTGTAAAAACTAGAGGATTACCATTTGATTAGCTTTTCTCTGATGGCTTCTTCTTCGGCTCATCATTATAAGGTCTCCTAGTGTTAGCAGTGGTTTCCTTATTATTGTGCTGCTATTACTCTCCGAGTCTGAGCCTGTGTCACATATTTCTGGATTTTGAGCACTGCCCTTCTCTAAGCGGGGGCTAACCTGTTGTTCAATGGAGTTTAACTCAGGTGATAATAAAGGAAAGAGTTTCTCCAAGAAAGCGGTCCCAACTAGGCTAGTAGTGCCCGTTGCATAACTGCTCGTGCTGCCTGTTTCAGAAGCCGGTGAAGGTGGACTTTTCAGCCTGCTGCTGTTGATATCTTCCACAGGAACAGCGCTCGAGATTTCCCAGGTTGATATCAAGCCATTCGCTAGCAAAGAGGGCGCTGAGCTGAAGGAGTCATCATCCGATTCAAAACAAAACGCTTCCCACAGATGACCACTGTTGTCGTTCCCATCATCACCTCGAGCCTCTGTTCTTGCAGGCAACACAGAGGAGCCGAAGATGTTCTCCTGGGAAGACGACTCTGCAGATGGGCGGGGAAGTGGGAAGCTGGGAAGTGGCGTCCCCGGCTTCTCCTCCCACTCAAATGGGATCGAAGCTACAAGCTTCACCGGAGGAACAAATTTCTTTACGGGTTTATCAACAGGCTTCCAATCCTTGTTTGGCACTCCTGGCCTTACTTCCCAAACAAATGGTACAGAAATTGGCTGTCTTTCTTTCCTGCTGTTACAACTTTCAGGAACCTTGTTTTCTGCCATCTTGGAATGTCAATGGTTTCTTGTCTGACACTGAAATCTTGCATTATTGCATATACATATATAAAGCTAAAAAAAATAGTGTGAAACATAGTGGGTTAGCGGCTTCTGCACCTAAACCTACGTGCCCAACAACACCATTTTATGGTTCAGAAATTAGGTAAAGTACGCCTGTTTTGTTTTATTAATATCCGAAAACTTGGATAATCCAAGAATAGAAGATGATAGCAACTTAGACCAACCTATCCACTTTGCTTTAGTTTTTGACCGGACATGTTTAGTCAATTAGTTGAACGGGTGACGGCTTGCAGATTCGTTACGAAACATATCAGTGCTCTTGCACCAAAACATGATACATTATGCTACATTATAAAACATGTACTAAATAGAAAAACAAACAAACATACGTGAATTAGCAGTGATAATGGTTCGATTCTGGTGTCAATCAAATTGACAATTTATGATTTGAGATTCAATTTTGGCCTCAAATTGATAATTTATGAAGCGAGATTTGATTGAATCAGAATTAGAACCGGTTCATTTAATTTTAACATATTTTAAATTTTCAATTTCTTTATAAGTTTGTTTTCAAACTTAAACCAATACGAGTAAGTCGTTTTCAAGTCCATTTCTGATTTGGACTTGCATCATTAGGACGATAACGGCGTTTTAACGCCGTGTAAATTAAATATTCCGTACAACTATGAGACAACGTTGAAACGGTTGACATCGCGGTATCACATGACGTTACGATCAAACGTCGAAATCCATTAATTACCGTCGCTTGCCACCTGGATCCAGTCTGAACATTCATTCATTGACTGCCTCTAGGCTCTGGTCTTCCCCTTCTCTAATCCCTAACAAGGATTTTAATTGATTGTTTAAAGAGCAAATCTGTAAAAATTCCATTCCCGGCAAGTACAGACTACTGAGTAGTAATTACTACATTCTCGTGCCGTGTATCCGTTCTTCTGATTCTATGCATTCTTGATTTCCCTTTCCACCATTATCTCTCTGCATTTTACTCCATCTTCTCCCAAGCTCAACAACACACTGGAGGACTGCCCAGAGCCTCAAAACTATAAATTTTGGCTGAATTTCAAGATTCCAAGTGGATCTGTTATATGGGCGGTTCTGTTCTCAAATCTTAAAAGGTAAGAGCTTTTTAGATCTCAGCTAGGTTGCTTTTGTTGTGGTTGCTGGGCGGGCTAAAGGGAAACACAAAATACATTATTATGCTGGATGTGTTTGTTAATTGGGACTGTAGTTCACTAGTTCTCAGCAATATCTTTTAACTGACCAGAAAGTTTGTAACTTGGGACTTATATTTATGATTTTATAGTTAAGAATTTGATTTGTATGTTGTTTGGGGCCTTATATTTGTGATTTTATAGTTAAGATTTAAGAATGTGTTGTTTTCAATTTCTGCTACTTAAACAACAATTAGGTTGAGCAGATGAGCTGATAGTTAGTTTAGAATTGTTGTTAATATATGATTCTGTCGTTCAGGGGTTTGCTAAAGTTGTTAAATTTGGATAGGATGACTACAGCTTCTGCTAAAGACAGTGCAACAGGATCCTATCCGAGGACATTAGTGTCCATTGTGATTTCAGTTGGGGGCCTTGCTGTGTTCTTAATTCTTGCTTCATCGTTTCTTACCTCGGGGCCTATTGCTTCTGCTGTTCGTGGGCATTACTATGGTGTTGATAACTCAAGAAAGAATAGTTTAGTCCTCGAGGATGCTGGAGTGTGTGTTGACCCTCCCAGAAATGGTACAGGAATTGATTCTCAAGCCAAGGATAGTAAATTGAGAGAGTTTTCTTCAAAGTCGGTGGAGAAAGAGCCTGTCGATGATGGTCAACTTGATGGAAAGAAGGATGCAACTCTTCCTTCATATCAGTTGAACAATTCAGGTGTGTTAAACCCTCTCTCTTTCGCCATATTCAACTTGATTTTAGCTTTTGTTATACAAATTGAGTTCTTGGTGTTCAGGCCATATAAATGAATGGAACTTGTTTGCGTTTCCATAGTGATGACTGTGCCAATAAGATGAAATAGTCTTTTTAAACGTCGGGTTCATTTTTGAAATTGTTGCAGAGTGTGATTTGTACAGTGGGAAATGGATTTATGATTCAACTGGACCATTGTACACGAACAACTCCTGCCCAATCATAACACAAATGCAGAATTGCCAGGGAAATGGAAGGCCAGACAAAGATTATGAGAACTGGCGGTGGAAACCAACTCAATGTGACCTCCCTCGATTCAATCCAAAACAATTCTTGGAGTTAATGAGAGGGAAGACTTTAGCTTACGTTGGTGATTCAGTTGCCCGCAACCAGATGGAGTCAATGCTGTGTATCCTTTGGCAGGTATGATCAAGATTCAAGAACCATTCTCTCTCTCGGGATATAATGTTATCTGTGTTTCTCGTTATGGACTTATGGTAACTTTTGATTCCCTTTTCTTTCCAGTATGAAACTCCAAAAAACCGTGGGAACAAGAAAATGCAACGCTATTATTTCAAATCAACATCGACCATGATTGTGCGAATCTGGTCCTCGTGGCTGGTTAATCAAACATCTGAGCCGTTTGATTATGCTCCAGCAGGAGTGACCAAACTCCACCTTGACGTTCCAGATGAGGGCTTCATGGAACATATTCCCCAGTTCGACGTTGTTGTGCTCTCCTCTGGTCACTGGTTTGCGAAGCAATCGGTTTACATATTAAACGACGAGATTGTGGGGGGACAACTTTGGTGGCCAGACAAGTCTAGACCGATGAAAGTCAACAACATTGAAGCTTTCGGGATATCTGTTGAAACAGCTCTCGCTGCCATGGTTTCACACCCGAAGTACAGAGGTCTCACCATCGTGCGTTCCTTTTCGCCCGATCATTACGAGGGAGGAGCGTGGAACACGGGAGGATCGTGCACGGGGAAGGTCAAGCCAGCTGAAGATAGTGAATTGGCCGAGAATGGGTTCACCAACATAATGCACGAGAAACAGTTGAGTGGCTTCTCTCGAGCAATCAAGAAGAAAACGAACAAGTCAGAGCTGAAATTCATGGACATCACACGAGTGTTTGGGTATCGCCACGATGGACACCCAGGCCCCTACCGAAGCCTTGACCCAAACAAAATCACAAAACGAGGACCGGATGGTAGACCTCCACCGCAGGACTGCCTGCACTGGTGCATGCCAGGTCCAGTCGATACATGGAACGAGATGGTGTTTGAGACTATACGGAGAGAATTCCAAGGACCGCAAACTACTCCCTCATGAACCACTCTCGCACTGCAAAGATTCTTTTAAATTATGGCTATTGGCTCGACTCCTTTCTTCTTCAGGCTACATGAGAAACAAATAGACAAAACTACATGGCCATACCTTGCCAGTTTATGAACCTTATCTGCCACGAATTTGGAATGCAGCTTGGCTTGTCACATAATTATTGTTGTTTGATACGCTGAACAGTAGTACATGAGTAAAGTTCACTTGCAGGGGCTTTTGCAGCATTTTGTTGCCGTACAACATTGTGACATGTTAGTTCTAAAAATACAAGTCAAGAATAGAAAGCTGTCTATTGTTGTTTTCCTCTTATTTTCAAAGTACAACACCACATTCTACCACGTTTTATAAGTTATTTTACATTTGACTATCGATGAGAATTCAAGCCAATATATATGACTTCAATTAAACTCTGCAAGTGACTCAAGGTGACTTTGAATTAGTGTAACAGTAAAAAGATACCAACTATAAATAAAAAATTGTATGATTTTTTTTTTTGAGTAACGAGAAAAATCAATAGCCACTAATTGAAGATGTCTGAAATTTTTTATGTTCCATTGTATATATGAATAATTGGGGGTCCAATTCAATTGTGATTTTATGGAGGGAAACTTGGACCGTACTTTAATGAAATGGAAGCTTGAAAATTAAGATTACTGATTAAAGTGTAATTATTTTGATTCTGTTGGTTCCCTCCTCCCACCATACTACCCACACACAGGAATAAATGAATAATCATTGTATACACATTGAACATGTGGTACATAAATATAATTAAATTAATGATTTGTATTTTATACAATGATCATGATATAAATTTGAACATCCATGTCTATCTCTAGCCACTTTCTTGAATTATCAGCATCACATTCTTGATTTTTTTTCCCATACATTTAACATATATTCATTCAATACAAATCACAATAATCTTTATTATTTTTTTCAAGAAACCTCAATTCCTCAAAAGGATAAAAACAAAATCATGTAGGAGATCTTTCAAAAAAAAAAAAATTAAAACTTACACGATGCTCGTGAAGAATTTTTTACACAAATGAGGGTGAAATTTCAAATTCAAATTGTACGAGTTGAAGAACCGCACAAATGAGTCAACTACTCTACTTTGTTCTTAGTAAACATGCATCGACATGAGATCCCACTTCTTGTCCATGAGGCGACAAGAAGTTACGTTCAAGTTCATTTAGTTACTTTTAGTATATACAAATTTCAAAGAAAAAATAAGAGATATTTCAATGAATTGATCAAATTTATATTTATTAACTCGGTAGATAATTTTCATATATTTAGTTTGTGATAAAAAATATTTGACACTTTATTTTTTAGACATGAATAAATGTATAGAAAACAATATTTTTATGGTTTTTTTTTTTTAAAAAAAAAAAAAATTCTAAATTGAAATTTGTAAAATTTTAATAGTGTTTGCAATTTTTTAAAAAGAAAAATCTTGGTGTCATGAATCATGATGTATATTGTACAACTACATATACATAAATAAATAAATAAATAAATCCTCAATTTTGGGTAAAATGGTGCATGCACCATCCTCTTAAAACTCTTGCTTCCTAGTTAATTCAGCTAATTAGCTAATTGTCAATTATGGTTCATAACCATCATATCTCCATGTTCATAATTATGCATTTTCTCAAATCTCACTTCCTTTTTTCCACCTTTTACGGTATTGAGTATGCCTCTAAGTCTCTAACTAATAAATCATTACATCGACTTTTTCACTTTTATCAACAAAATCTCCCAACAAATTTCCAACTGCCGACATCCTAGCTCCAAACTAACTCCCATTCTTCCATTAACATATTATTATTTTATAATTAGAGGTTATAGTCTTACTAAAATAATAATAAAGTATTATTTATTTGACAAAAATTTGTGTGAGATCGGGTCAATATGAAAAATGTAATACTAATCAAAATAAATTATTTATTACTTATATGAGAAAGTATAATACTTTTGAAGAAAAATGTAATACTTTTACATTTTGATTTAAAAGTATTTCATTTTTCTTCAAAAGTATTACATTTTCTCTCATAAGTAATAAACACATGCCAACATTACTTATAATGGAAAGTGTAATACTTTTTATGATACATCAAAATGTAAAAGTATTACACTTTCCCTCATAAGTAATTGACACTTTATTCCTAATTAGTATTACATTTCCATCTGGACCCGATCTGTTTTACAGATAAAAATTCGTTAGACGGATTTACATAAGTACGATCCTATTTATTTTAAGAAAAATGACACGATTAGTTCTTCATCTTTAAAGAAATACAAGTTACTACTCAAGCCTCATGGTGGTGTTTAAGAGATTACACAAATCTCTCATAACTTAACCATAAGTACCTTTGAGGTCCTACCAACACAAACATAATTATTCTTTGTGTGTTATTTGATCTTCGAGAAAATTTGTGACCAATTTTTTTTTTTTTTTAAAGACAACTCAAATTGATCTTTACAATGACAGAATGTTAAAAGGAAATTATTAGACGGATTACTTGAAGGTCTAGTCCAGTATCATCCCATCCAAACGTGACACACTATTGATTAACCCCCTCAACAAATAGCTAAACATTATTTAGCTATCAAAATCAAATAGGTACATGGGGAATACTACAATAATATTCAATGTGACACTTAATTGTGGCTTAAATTATGTATTTATGAATTGAACCTTACCACCATGGGAAAGGAGTGGCTGACAGTTGTGGGTTAATGACACTTGCTTAAGATTGATTAGCTGTTGGTTAAGACTTCAATTAGCAAACTGATTTTCACTACATACCAAAAATCTACTAGTAATTATTCACAATATCTTCTTTTTCTCTTCATTTTCTTTTTGTAATAATGCACTACTTAGTTTAATATTTTCCTTTGTGAATAACAGTGTCTGATAATGACACTCAACAATGATGACTTTTTCTTCCCAAATATATATAATTTTTAAAATTCTTCCAAAAATGACATCACCTAGACATCAATACAACAATTTGTGTATTAATTAATTTAGGGTTTAGTAACTAAACATATAAAAAAAATTAATTATCAAAATGTCTCTTGACTATAGCGAAATTATCAATTTGATCATTGACTATTTTTTAGATTAATTAAGTCTTTCAACTTTTAAAAAATAATTTATTCCTCAATTTATTTTGTCGTTAGATGTTCGTTAACTCATGACCAAATTAATAATTTTACTATAGTTAATAAACTATTTTGATGCACCATTTTTTATGAATAAAATTTTTTAAATAAAAAAAAAATCACTTATAGTTAATCAACTCAACTAGCGAATTGTGCTTCCTTAATTTTGTTGCTAAAATGGCATAGTTTGGGTGTCACCGGGACAGTAATCAGCGTTCAGTGTTGACTATAACGGGAGAGTCAAATAAAAATCTCAATTTCTCATTGGCCGCACCTCCCGGGCCCCACCGCTGTTGACAATTTAGGACTCCCATTGGTACATTTAACTCACGCGCCTCATCGGCACGTGGCCTACTCCCTCCACCTACGCTGTTTCTCCCTTCCCATTTCTCGACGACAAAAAGTTCTAACATAAGACTCCAATGCTATGAGACAACAACCTTTCTCTCTCACCCCCTTTCCTTTCTCCTTCGAAGACTGTATCTTTTTCCGTTCAGGCTCAGTTAATCGCCGAAATCAGTGTAACCCGACAGGTTTCCGGCGATTTCGACATGGAAGCTCGTGGTCGGGGACACCGGAAACCCATTTCGAATCTGGGTTAGTTGTTGTTTTCCTGTGTAATGTAACCCGAGGTTTGAACTTTGAACTCAAACTAAACCAAACTCACACCAAACACAGTAGTAGCAGCAACAACATAGGACCAATAAAACACCCAAAAGCCTCTGACTTTTCTTCACAATTCTTCTCTGAGATATTCACGTTTCCCTCGGAATTTTCAAGGTTGTCGACTTCTATGGCTAGCATTAATGCGAACGCAGCAGCTGACGTCTCGTCTTCCGGGGAGGACGGGGCGGCGAAGGCCGTGAATAAGCGGTATGAAGGGCTGCTCACAGTTCGTACCAAGGCTATAAATGGGAAAGGAGCTTGGTATTGGACTCATCTTGAGCCCATTTTGGTTCGGGACCCGGAAACCAACCTGCCAAAAGCCGTGAAGCTCAGGTGCAGTCTCTGTGACGCTTCGTTTTCGGCTTCAAATCCGTCCCGGACCGCTACTGAGCATCTAAAGAGAGGAACTTGCCCGAATTTCGGCTCAGTCGCGAGGCCCGTTTCTCAGTTGCCTCCCTTAGCTTCGCCTTCTTCGCAGAATCATCGGAAACGAGGCTTTAAACAAACTGGAGTTCCCGTTCCCGTTCCCGTTCCCTCTAGCTCCTTCGCAGCAGCTGGGGTGCTTGATTCTTCGCGGGTTTCTACTGAAATAATGGGCTATTCAGGTGCCCAGAATCCGCAGACAATGGTCACTAATACTGGCTTGACTCAACACCAATTGGTGTTGTCCGGTGGGAAAGAGGATTTGGGTGCGTTAGCTAAGCTGGAAGATAGTGTTAAAAAGCTCAAAAGCCCAAAATCCTCGCCTGGCCCTGCCCTCAGCAAGGACCAGGTTGATTCAGCTTTCAATTTGTTGGCTGAGTGGTTCTATGAATCTTGTGGTTCGGTTTCCTTTTCCAGTCTTGAGCATCCAAAGTTCAAAGATTTCCTAAGCCATGTTGGCTTGCCTGCAGTATCAAGAAAGTACTTTGCCGGAGCAAAGCTTGATTCAAAGTTTGAGCAAGCAAAAATGGAGTCAGAAGCTAGAATTAGGGATGCAGTGTTTTTTCAAATTGCTTCGGATGGATGGAAGAACGATAATTGTCAGTACGTGGATGATTGCATGATTAAGTTTACTGTAAATCTTCCAAATGGCTCTTGTGTGTTTCATAAGGCAGTGTACAAGGGTGGTTCATTGCCATCACAGTATGCTGAGGATGTTTTGTGGGAAACCATTAGAGGGATAAGTGGGAATGTTGTTCATAGATGTGTAGGAATAGTTGGAGATAAGTATAAAGCCAAGGCATTGAAGAATTTAGAGAATCGGAATCATTGGATGGTTAATTTGTCTTGTCTGTTTCAAGGATTTATGAGTTTGATTAAAGATTTTAGCAGAGAGCTTCCCCTTTTTAAAACTGTAACTGACAATTGTTTCAAGGTAGCCACTCTATTCAATACTACTTCTCAAATTAGAAATCATTTCCTTAAGTTTAGGTCACATGGGGTTGAGCTTCCAGGGCTAATTAGAGTTCCCTTACCTCACTGTGATTTGTCCAAGAACTCTGGTCCTGTTTCTAGAATGTTGGAGGATGTGCTGAGCTATGCTCGGATACTCCAACTAATAGTTCTCGATGATTCGTATAAAACTGTGTGTGCTGAGAATCTTATTGCTAGAGAAGTTGCGGAGTTGATACAGGATGTTGGATTCTGGAATGATGTGGAATCTGTTCATTCACTGATGAAGATGATCAAGGATATGGCTGAAGATGTTGAGGCTGAGCGGCCATTAATTGGGCAGTGTCTTCCCCTCTGGGAAGCACTGAAAGTTAAAGTTAAAGATTGGTGTGTCAAATTTAGAATTGCTGAAGGGACAGTGGAGAAGATAGTCGAGAGGAGGTTCAAGAAAAATTATCACCCAGCATGGTCAGCTGCATTTGTACTCGATCCATTATACCTTATAAGGGACACGAGTGGGAAGTACTTGCCACCGTTTAAGTGCCTGACACATGAACAAGAAACAGATGTGGACAAACTCATAACACGCCTGGTTTCAAGGGAGGAAGCTCCTATTGCATTGATGGAGCTTATGAAATGGAGGTCCGAAGGCTTGGACCCACTCTATGCACAGGCCGTTCAGGTGAAACAGCGAGATCCAGTGACAGGGAGAATGAAGATCGCAAATCCTCAGAGCAGTAGACTCGTTTGGGAGACTTGCTTGAAAGAGTTAAAGTCACTAGGTAAAGTTGCAGTTAGGCTGCTCTTTCTTCACGCAACTTCATGTGGGCTTAAGTGTAATTTTCCCTCAATGCGGTGGGTTTGTTCACAAGGGCACTCCAGGGTTGGGCTCGATAGAGTCCAAAGAATGATATTTCTTGCAGCACATGCAAAACTCGAGAGGCATGCCTTCTTGAACGAGGAAGATGATAAGGACACCGAAGTGTTTCCCATGGCTAGTGGTGAAGATAGTATGCTCAACGAAGTCTATGTTGATGCACGCTCAGTGTAATCTTTAATCTTTTAACTCTAGAATTGTGATATGTAGGCTAGAATTCTTTACATTCTATTTCGTTTGTCCACTTGTTGCTTCTAGTACAAGGTTTTGGAAATATCACAGGGAGAGCAGTGTATTCTAGGAAGAACTTTCAATGGAAAATTATTTTGTGATTAATTGCATGAAAAAGCAGATTTTCTTGTTTCCAAGAATAAAGAATTGTTTGTGTATCACTTATGTATTACAACAAAGTGCACATTTGTTTGAACTTATGACTTATTGCAGAAACTTCTCTCAGCTTATTATCAGGTCCGATTCCATTTTTTGGCATTTCGCAGAACAGTGATACCATCAAATGAGCCAACCTAGGAACTATAACGAACCAGATTTCTGTATTGAGAGGGGATTTCTACTACATCAGTTATCACAGGATCAGGAATGAAGGGAAAGGTTTGCGATTTTTAAGGAAATTTTAATTTGAATCCAAATGTTGTTTGTTCAATTTCTTCCAAGAATCATGTCTTTTTGGTGTGCTTGCCTTGATTACAGTTGTTTGAGCAACCCTTAAGCAACGGAGGCTGCCGACATCATGCATCATTAGTCATCTGTCATACCTGAAAGGAATATTGCAACAGACTTGAACTTATCATCTCTAATCTGCCTTTTTTGTGTTCTTCATTATAATCTCCAATCATTTTCTGTTGAACACTATTGGAATGGACTAATATTCTTCAAGATAATACCCATTATTGTTTCTTTTTGCCATGGATAATCAACCTGCACATACTTTACTGATATTACAAAGGAAAATACATGCACTTTAATCAAATGAAAGATGCCCAGGGAGTATATATGTCTGAAAAAAAAGTGGAAATTTTAACTGTTAAAAGTACTTTTTACAAGAATCTTACACCTTTGAATTCTTCCTTATAATTGCTGTTACTTTTTCATATCTTTATTTCCCACTTATGTGGGTAACCACTGCTCCTAGGACCTATGTTGTTTGTCTGCAGATACCTTTCATATGCTTGAAAAACTCATTAATATTGTGTTTAAGTTTAACTAACTAATGAAAGTATTACTATGTCCAGAATCAATCTAGTAGTGTGGTCCTAAACATTAGCTTATGTAACATGTAGAACAACAGTAATGCTGGAGGTGTGGTCCCTTAATCATCTTGTATTCTTGAATTAAGTGATCATGATTTTGTGGATTTTCATGAATGTGGCGAGTAATGATGCCAACTTGAGTGTTTTTCCATTCTGGGAATGAACAAAAACTGCAAACAAAATGTATTGGTTGATAATGGTGGTGCTTTGCTGAAACTGTGGAAGGGAATTTAGATTCATGTGTACGTGCACGAATATTCATCGTTGAGGAATCGCATGCTCATCGCGGTAAAAATTGTAAGCTTAAAAAGTTGCAACAAAGAAATGATTGGGCCTCTGCAAGGTGATGATTTTGGAATGTTGTAAAGACATTGGACTGATCTCATTAGCCCAACAAGTCAAGAACTGAACTTCAACCCATCAAGATTTGGAGGTTTTGAGAAAACATGACATATTATACATTTATACTATAGACCATAGTCCATATTACAATGTGAATTATGGATAAATATTTATTTTTAATATAGTGAATGTTCATTATTTTGTAGTACATCAAATAATGAACGTTCAGTATGCAACAAATGGATAGTCATTTTATTAAAAACGAATTTTATGTCAATGATTCTCCTCACAAGGTGGACCATAGTCCATGATATACAATGAGTGAGATAATATAGGTAGTTGATACACTAGGGGTCTATTACTTAAACTCGCAATCACTACTTAAAGGTGTTACTAGCTAGGCAAAATTGTCCCTATAGGCAAAATTTTCTTATGTGATGGGCTCGGCCAGGAAGATATTAAGAAATAGCAAGAATCGAATTCATTATTTTTTGGTATGCTCCATCTCTTCAACCACCTGATCGGTCAATCTTAATTAGTTAATTTGGCATTTTTTTTTATATAAGAAACAAAATTGAAATCTTTATTTCATCTCATCTAAAAATTGAAGTTATACTAAGACTATTTCATGCACATTTATATTATTAACTTCTTCCATGCATCATGATAATATATTTTTCCTTTTTAAGGCATATCAGTACATACTCAGTAGTGACCACTGACCATGCATGTATATATCAACATTGAACATGGCAAAGGTAAGGGCAGAATTGAACCATACATTGAAGTTAGTTGCCCATGCCGCAGGATGGGAAAACTGAACACAACTTCCATTAAATACATGCATACATAAAATGGTGCATGCATGTATATATGTTCCTACACACACATATATATATATATATATATATATATATAGCTTGCAAATCATCGTCAAAGGTGGCCATCACTTGTCGTTTTCATGTATAAACATTTGCCCCACTTCGGTCTCAATGTATGCATGTGTACGTATGTCGAAAATATAGCAAGAAAGAATATAATGTAGTTAAGAAACACTAATCCTAGATTATGTTATTTCTTGTTGGTTAATGTAATTAACGTTAATACTTGTTTTCTCGCTTTATTCTCTGGTACATGGTTCCCTGCCTGACAATGTAACAGAGATCGAACAGCATCAAATTACTGCTAGAAACCAACATTGTTAGAGGATAAAAAATAAAAATAAAAATTACTAATGTTTAATTTTGTTCCTTAGGATATAGGTTGTCCCTTTAGGGGCAATGCATGCATGTGCGATCTTACCGTCTTTATTCATTGTACGTATGGTACCGTAGTTTGGCATTAGGTCTACCTCCGACAATAATATATCTTTTGGTTCCTAACAATATAATATAATGTATTTCTTCATCTTTCTTTCTTTTTCACCTTTCGTCACGCCAAATGTGTGTGGGGTATGTACTCTTTTAATTTGTATAAATTACTTCGTAACATTTAATGAATTTGACTCACTAATATGTATGTATACGTATTCCGATGCGCGGATAAGTATTGTCTTCAAATATAAAATTATAATCAAATGATTTAAGAAAGTAATGTTTTGTTGCTCATGAATAAAAACATGAAATGCAACACTACAAGGGATGACACCTGGGTTTAGTTGATTGGCTTATCTATGAAGTTGGTCATCAACTAATTAAGATTTTCTTGAAATGAGCCACCTTATCATAGTTAAAATTAAGAATTAGAAACAGACAAATAAATAGATCACATAGATAGTTTAGTATATATATTTCTTAATTTGGCCTAGCTACCAACCATATATATCAACTACCAAACACAAATTCGATCGTAATTAAAAAGTTCATTAAGTTGGAGCTAACCAAATTACCGTACACGTACCAAATTCAAGGACAAAATTAAAAATTTGGGACACCCACGGCATTAATTAATTTGATTTATTAATTAGAGCATCCATAATTAATCCTCTACAAACGTTAAATTTTGGATGGGCGTGTCGTCAGGTGTAACATGATTCTTGTCTCCCAATTGCTTATTTTATAAACTCCGTCAAAGACGACCGTCGCTCAACTCTTTTTTAGTTCTTGGTTGCCTCCTCCTGCAAAACATCACAGCGAAGACGGAACATTTCGGAAATAGCAACCCATTTATTAAATTAGTGCGTGCGACCAATAATAATAATAATTAAAATACCATGCATGTTGGCATAATCAATTAAAGTATTTTAATAATATAATAATTTTGTATAGAAAAAACTTGCAACTCCTATCTGAATGTGTATCGTGAATAAAATTCACCCTGTAACTTTAGTTAACAAAAAATTACAAGAAGACAAATTTAACTTGGAACCTTATGATTACCTACTTTTGACATGAATTAATGGTCGCCCTAACCGCTAGCTGAATTTCGGACACTAGTTTAGATTCGGCCTAAAAATGTATTATTGGTGAAATTCACCTTTTGGTCTTAGCTAGGCAGTAAAGAGGTAAATATAATTAACTTAATTAAGTTGTCCGATCCATAGCTAACTGGTTCAAATAAAAAATGTCAATTAATAACTTTTACAAAGATTTAAATTTTGAATCAACTTAATTGTCAGGCCATGGTCTTAGCTAGTCCGTAAAGAGGTAAATTAGTTTAATTAAGTTATTCATAAGTAGCCGGCTCAAATCAAAAAGTCTATTAATAACTTTTATGAGGAGTTGAACTTTAAATCAACCTAATTGTCAGATCAACTTGATTGTGGACCGGCTTTTTATATATAGATTGATACTATATATATATTCAAGGCTATATATGCATCCGTGTGGAAGAGGGTGTAGTTGGCTCAAAGCTAAGCGGATCGGATAACATATAGCTAGAGAAGAAGATGGGTGTCTGGTCTGCTGAAAACGCAACCAAGGCTTATCTAAAAACAATGAAAATGGTTAGCATATATATATAGTTTTGGATCCTTAATTATGTTTGTTCTTCTGTCGTGTTCAGTTCGGACTAATTGATAATGAATGTGCAGGGAAAAGGAGCAAAACAGCCGGATGTAGCAGAGTTCATCTCCGCACTGGCTGCCGGCAACACTGCCCGCCTGATCCTCGTTGCATGTGCAGCAGCAGCTGGAGCCGACTCCACCGCCGCAGCCACCACACGAGCCCTGGTGGCCGCCGCCCAACAGACCGGCGGCCGCGTGGTCTCCGTTCTCAGCTCCGCCGATGAGCTCCGCTCTTGCAGAACATCTCTGGGTGAAGACGACGACGACGCAAAACACGTGGAGTTCATCCTCGGAGACGCCGAGGCCCTACTGAGGAACGAATACAGGGAAGCGGACTGCGTCGTCGTGGACTGCAACCTTAAGAATTCCGAAGCCATACTAGAAACGGCGCGGCGGGTCGGAAAACCCGGCGCCATGGTTTTGGGGTACAACGCGCTTTGCATGGCGTCGTCACGGCGGTGTCAGGGACTCAACGCTCATTTGCTGCCTATAGGAGAAGGTGTATTAGTAGCCAGACGCGGTGGCTCCGCCGGAAAGGGCAAGAGCCGGTGGATTGTGACGGTGGATGAGGGCACCGGGGAAGAACATGTCTTCAGAGTCAGATCATCTTCTTCTACACATGGCCGGAAAGACGGTTAAACCCTTGCTAAATGCATGCTTCAAAACACCAAATTTGATCCATTCAACATTTTCCTATATTAAGTTATGAACAGCCATTATTAGTTAAGCAATTTATTAGTAAGCTTACTGGCTAATGGCTATGGTGATCAGGGTTTAACTCCCAGTCTTCTTGAATTTGTACATATATATATTTCAAGGCTGCGTTTGGCCAGGGTAAAAACTTGTGCTGCTACATATATATCAATTAGCTTTATTTTAATTCTGGAATATTTATAAAGTTTTTCGAAGTTAAACAATGGATCAAAAAACAAGAAAAAAAAACCTACAGAAATCAAGTTTGGTTTTCACTTCTTAGTGGAAGTGACTTTCTTGGTTTGAGTCGATTTATTATGAACAATCTAATCTGTTTTATTTCTTTATGATCCTTGACGAGATAGAGTTATAAGGTGGTTATAGACTTCAGCCAGCCTTGATGGATCTAAAAGCAATTTGACCATTAATGGATCAATGATGAATTGATGATGATGATGATGAAGAACAACACAAATCTAGTTGTTATCTAGCTGCTAGTTGATTAGAACCTATACACACATGCACGCAATCATTCTACTATGACTAACTTAATAATTATAATTATGATAATATAACAGGATCTTAAGATAGATGAACAGGCTAGGGTCTTCCTGGCGGGCCTGATATGATAGATCATTGCATGCTGATGATGAGCTTAGCTGCAACTCATCTATCCACGTGAAAAAACAGCCTTGATCTGCACCCATACGTGCGCGCAGATTCTTCAAATTAAACTATAACTTGTCCACACCCACAAATCTGCATTTTTGTTTTTTTCTGTGTTATTTTATGGGCAAGAGGGATGCATTTATAAAGCAGAAGACAAAGAAAGTTTCAAGAACTGTCACTGTTATGGCCCTCTGATCTGGGTCCATCAAGAACGTGTCAAGATTCTTTTATTGCCAGAAAAATGCATGGCCTCACCTACTCATCAGTTGTGTGCGAGCAATATATATATATATATATATAATTCATGATCTTAACTCCCTAGCTACACCGGAATGGGAAGCCTCAATAATGGAAGAAGAAAGACCAAACGACAGGAAATTCATTCATCTTGTAGCTATGTTTATCCACCACCTTTGCAGAAGGAAACAACTTGATCTGATCTGGATCTCTGCATGCCTGCCCGGAAGCACAGCAAACTGTGACATGTTCTGCTTCTGACCAGCCATCTAACTATTCTATTGTTTTTCTGTCATTCTAGGATGTTTCCTCCACGGTTAGTTGGTAAAACGGCTAGCTAGGCCAATAGGCCACTCTGCTGAGAGTCGAACTTATAACCTTGTACGTGATTATCAAGTTAACAACCTGACCAACTTGACTGGAGCTGCTTCCAAGTACACACGTTTTCTCCAATGGTAAGCAGGTCGAAAATTTATAGGTTATGTCTTCCTGAATAAGAGTCAAACTCTGCAGATGTGACTCATACGTTGTTTAGGAGATAATACCATGGAAAGCTAGCATTGACCTGGGATTGTAAGCACACAGTTTTTGTCAAATGACTATGAAATTTAGGATTTTGAGGAGGTAATAATAACATGGTTTGTGTCTAGTTTGTCTCCTAAGCAAATAGTATTAAAATCATAGGCTTTGTGTTGTCTTAATGAAGGAAGTTTCAGCTGCCCCTTCCTAATACAGCATTACAGCTAATAAAGTACGGATTATATATATTTCTACAGACCAGTGGTCCATGTTATATCACTATGAAGGAAGGCATCTTCATAATGCAGTTTCCTGGAAGCTGGTCATGGCATACAGTACGTACATACATACATGTTAGTTTATTTCAAGTTGCAGAATAAGACAAGCAAGCAAAGGTTAAACATGGCATGTTCATGATGTTTCTTTTATCTGTTTTTTTACCTAAATCCAGTTGGGTACTGTCTCAAATAACACCCCACCAGGCCACCACTACTCTATATAAAAGCTGGAATTCTTCAGTGTTCTCAACTCATCATCTCAAGTTCTCACAAAAGGAAGACAGATCAATTAAGAGAGGGAAGCGAAGAAAACACAACGAATGGAGAAGATGAGTTGCTGGTCTGCTGAAAATGCCACAAAAGCCTATATCAGAACAATGAATATGGTGAGTATCATATCATATCATATCAAGAATCCTTTTGGCTCTAGAACATATATAAGTTTTGATATGTATTTTGTCCAGTTGCTTACTTGATTCGATCTTGTGCAGGGAGAGAACGCTAAAGAGCTAAATGGTGCAGAGTTTATTTCAGCGTTAGCAGCTGGAAACAACGCGCAATTGATTGTTGTTGCGTGTGCTGGTGCTGCAGATGCCATCACGCTTGCCCTGGCAGCAGCGTCTCAGCAAACTGGAGGGCGCGTTGTCTGCATCCTCCCGGGGCTAGAAGAGCTGTGCTGTTCTAAACTTACTCTGGGAACAAACGCTGGCCATGTTGATTTCATCGTTGGGAATCCTCAGGAATTGCTGTCAAAGCACTATAAAGAGGCAGATTTTCTAGCCATTGACTGCAATCTTGAAAACCATGAAGAAATTCTCAGATCAGTTCAGGGAAGTGTGAGGTATAACAACACTGTGATCTTAGGCTATAACGCGTTCTGCAAGCAATCATGGAGAAGCAGCAGTTTGCGTATTAGCCTGTTGCCTATCGGAGAAGGATTGCTGCTAACAAGAATAGCTGCCAAGAACAAGAAGATTAACAGACCCGGGATGCAGAAGAAGGGTCACTGGATTGTCAAAGTAGATAAATGCACTGGCGAAGAACACGTTTTCAGGGTCAGATCCCCTCAGAGGAGAGTAATAGAAGCTTAGATCTCCCAACTGCATCAATTATTAGAGGTGCTTAGCTACTTAGACAAGAATTTTAGTTAAACAAATGTAAATAGTGAGCTTATCCAGTTCGCAATTCTCCAAATGAATTCATTAAAGAAATTTACTCTTCTGTTGAGACATTCCAGTTTCACTGCAAGAATCATTTATCTCATTCTCATTTCAAATACTTAAAATGATTTCATTGCTCGAGATCATTTAGCTGCAGCAGGTGGAAAAGGGAAGAGCAGAAAGGGCAAACAATGGAAGAACATAAATGCTAAAGTTAAGGTGTTACGCTACAAAATCATCAAGAAACAAGACAGTGTTCTCTAAGGAAGAAACAGCATCCTAGGATTCCTAGCTACATCAGTAAATCCTAGAAGCGTAGTGCTAATAAGAGGTTAGTAGCATCCTATCTGTTGCACGAACTGAAGACACGAAAGTTTCTCAGGCAACAGCGAGATCTTGGCAAGCATCAGCAAAGGTTAGTGTGGTTACCCAGTTCTCGAACAATTGTTTCCATGGATGGTCGCTCCTCTGGGCATTCATGAGTACATGTCCAAGCAATTTTTGCAAGCTTTGCAGCTTCAGCTTCTGAGAATCTCCCTTGAAGATTCTTATCTATAAAATCATGGAACTTGCAAGATTCAGCTGCAGTACGCATTGAATTGTTGAACTTTCGCTTCCCAGAGATTATTTGGAAAATGAGAACCCCAAAAGCATAAACGTCACTTTTCTCAGTGAACCGCCCTGTAGTACTGTACTCTGGAGCTAGATATCCCATGGCAGCACTTGCCTTGAGGGCCGAGAAGACAGTATCTTTCGTGAGAAGCTTGTACAGGCCCGAATTGGAAAGCAAAGGTTTAAATCGCTGGTCAAGTTGAATGTTCTCAGCAGATATATTTTGGTGGACAATAGTTGGTTTATTCACCTTACATCCGTGCAAATACTCAATTCCTGGTTAAGAGGTGAACTGACGTTAGTGAACCAAATAAACGATATGGATCATCCAAAACGGGCAAAGGGAACATAAAAATTCAGGTTTAAATGTTCACTACTGAAATGATAAACAAGCATATACTTCTGAAGTTTATAAAGTACACATTTTTAGTCGACTTGCTTATGTAAGTAAACTCCTTCTAACATACTAATATACAACATATTACCATTTTTCGTGCATCTAAGGGGTTTGGCATAAACTGATTTATTTAAAACTCTTTTGAGAAAAATAATGAGGATTAGAACTGACCTTTAGCAGCGCCACTTATGATACCGATTCTGGTGGACCATTCAAGAACCTCAGCATCACCCTCTTTCACATCTAGATAGCGTAATAAGTTTCCATTTGGAACATAATCATAAACAAGAAAACACTCTCCCCGGCCTCTGGAACAGCAGAATCCTCTTAACCTGACCAAATTTTCGTGTCTAAAGCAGGTCAGAATGCTCAAACCTCTCAAAAACTCGGCCTCCTCAGACTTGCAACTAATTTTGGTGATTCTCTTAATTGCAACCACTGATCCATCTCTTAGAGTTCCTCTATAGGTTGCTGAAAAGTTGCTCTTGCCCAGTAGATTCTTATCTATGAAGTTCTGAGCAGCTGATTCCACCTCTTCTAGATTGAACCTAAAACTTTGAAAAACCTCCTGGGGAACCCCACCATAACGCCGCCCCTCAGCCAAAGGATCCCATCCACTTGCATATTCAAGGCTAACGAGTGGTGAGCCATTCTTCTTGTTTACGTTCTTGGCATGCTCAGTATGCAGACTGCTATCAGATACATCAAGTGCACCACCCCGTTTCTGCTTCCATTGCCTATATCGCGAGAAGACAAGAATTCCTAAAGCTGACCCAATAACGGTAACTATGACCGCTCCAACAACAACTGATGCCTGTGAGGATTTAGATGCAGTTGAGCAATGACTGCCACTGCAATTTAAGTTCAGATTTGCAGTTTCTGGAATATCTCTTGTAGAGAAACCATTTGAATCAGCTCCATAAGGCTCAGGTCTGTTAGGATTCGGATGATTCAAAGAAGTGCAAGCTCTCAAGGATAGAAAACCAGCTCCACACAATCCCGGATTGTTCTCATACTGAAACCCATCGACAAATCTCTTGAAAGCTTCAAATAAAAAGTGATTAAAATTAGACTTTCCCCATATTGGATCTACAATTAAAACAATAGAACTATGGTAGGGATGATATGCATTACAGTCAAAGAAAACTAACTACCAAGAGGGACATTGCCGGAAAGTGTATTGTTGCGGACATTCAGAACTTCAAGTAGAGGCATGTCAGCAAGTTTTGAAGGAATTGAACCAAAGAGATCATTAAAACTCAAGTCCAGCCTCTTCAACAA